AGTGTCATTCATTCAGTATCTGAAGTATACCGAGAGGAAGAAATTGTGTGTGTGTATATATATGTGTGTATGTGTACTTACATATACATATATTTTTTAATACTCATGCCTACACACCTGCTTTCCCAGGCAGCCACTTGCCAATATGGACCAATTCAGCATGAGCAAAATGAAAGGGCTTTGCATACAAAGGTGATGGGATACAATGGGGGTCATGAGTACAACAATAGGATATAGATTCTTAATATGTCTGCATGGGGAGGGGGAGTAATGGGTCTTTCAAGCTTCTAAGAAGCTAAAGAATTGGAGAAGCATTGCTTGGCTTCCCTCGTATTATGCCTGGGTCCCATCCTTTGGTCATATAGCACATCTTTCTGCATTCGGACAGTACAATTAAAATGTGCAAAATCAATAGGGGGCATATGAAAAAACTCTGTAGCCCACATTATGTGGAGAAAGCAAATACCTGGGAAAAGTATTTTTTGTTATGAATGGAAAAACACATTCGAGAATTTATTTCAATTTTGCTTTGTTTTCATTGACATGCATTGAAGCATGCCCTCTATAGAAGATTTTTTTTTCACAAGGAAAACAATCAAGATGCAATTGAAAATAGACTGAAAAGTAGGTTAAGCTGAACATGGCAGTGACTGAAGAAAACAAAGACTACAAAGAAGTGAAAACAACTTTGTTTTTAAATCAATAAAAAATGTTAAAAAAAAGAATTTTAATTCCTATTAAAAAAAACAACAACTTTGTTTTACTGAAACAGGTGAAATCTTCATTGAAAACAGTAAGAAACAGCATTGTAAGAAACTGAACAAATAATAGAGAAAAACTTCAGAAGTCCTAACTGAGTGCAGAGAGAAAGAATGAATGAAAATAGTGTGTAAGGAGGTAACTGAGAGGGAGAAGAAAGCAAGAAATCCAAAGTACAAGTAACAATGTTTCCCCACAAGAAACTAGAGCATATGGAAAGTAGAAAATACTCAAAGATATACTGTAAGAAAATATTCTCAAGCTAAAAAGGACATAAACCTGATAATGAAAGCATATTATCCATTCTTTTTGTATTATTTATAGGAAAGAAAATGATGAAAAGAAATCTATTTCCAGATGAATTTTACAAATATTTTGAATCTCAAGAATTAAAGAAGTAATCTTCTTACCAGCTGGCAAGAGAAAAATATTCCCTAAAAAGGCACAAAATTCAGGATTGCCTTATCTGTTCTTCATTAAAACACAGCCCCCAAACAATT